ATTATTAAAATAATTAATTAAAATAATAAATAGGATTAGTATCTATTAATGTGGATATGTCTACAACATAATCATCTACACAGATTTCTTACAGATCAGTTTTAGAGCAGCCCAACAACTTAGATTTTTACTTCTTATATTTTGTACATTTCCATAGCTTAGCCTTGTGATACAACTATGTACTTAGACCTGACAAAAGTGAAGAGATCAGGCCCTACTCTCCTATTCTGCTCAGCATGACCTTGTAAGGCAACAGAGTTTGTCTATGTACATTTCAGGGCAAAACCTGCTCTATCAAAATAGCAGTAATACAGTGGAAATTGTTTCTTCAACATTCCCCTGGAATGAACAAAAGTTTGACTTCATTGTTTTACCTCTTCAGGTTTTCAGCTGAACCTTGTAATTCCTCAGATTCCATGTGAAACACACTAGAAAATGAATCCTGGAAGACCGAGAGGATATTTTAATATATAGGTGTATAAGGTTGTCATAAGTTAGAATAGTAGTATTCATGAAAAGCTTGTTGCAGTTAATCAAAACCTATTCTGTAATAGAGACAAGTGTAAAATTTTTTAACCTCATTTCACATCTAGTAGCAAGCATATAGGATCCTACCATGAAAATATCTTTTGATACAACTTTAAATATCAGTGAAGTGTCTTGAATCTCTACTGATCACTCTGAGAAGAAATGCCAGTATTTACAAGCTGTGCCAAATTTATCTGTCAGCACAGAATTTTATTTTAACATTCATCCAATTCTAGACCTGCTTTGCTTGGTCAGGTGAGGACATCAAAATGTTGTAAACATATTGACTGATCTCTGTGTTGCTTTCCACGCAGCTTTTTTAAACAGGTGAGAAGCCTAAATGTAAAGAGAAATTAGATTCTCTCTGTACTAAAGATTCAAACTACAGACTGCAAACTAGGTGCTGGAGTTTATCTAACTTGTAAGGACAGTGTGAATATGTGAATAGAAAAATTATGTAAATTCCTATTCTGTGTTCTTGTGTGCAGGAGTGACTCTTCTAAATACAGTGAGAGATGGGATTGTGGCAGATGATCACAAGTGCTGTGTGTTGTTTCTGTGCTACACAACCTGGAAATGCTTCCTTATTTCCAGATCTTAGTATACCTGTATCTGTAATGAGTAGTAAAGGTAAAACTAGCAATGCCAGTACAAGACTGAGGCATGCAACATAATATCCTGCTCCTTGTTCTGCAGCCTATTTTCAATAGGAAGGAAACACAGGTGAGCAGATTGGAAAGGAGTTGGGGTTGTGCTTTGCTTCAGTGAGCCAGGATCTTGGGACAGGCCATGATTCTGAAATACTATTGAGTCAGAAAAAGGCCACGCTGCTCCCAGGGAATAAGCACTTCTGCTTTTAGACAAAAAACATACTCACAGTACAATCTTCATCCACTATGAAGATGGTACACTTCTGCACTTGCATGAAGGATATTATAGTGGCAGCTATCTTCTTCAGAATTACTTCCAAAGACTGCTGCTCTTCAAAAATTAGGCTGGCAAGATCAAGAAGCACCTGGGGAAAAGGTCTTTTGTGAAATTTTGACTAATTGTGATTTAAGCAATAATTACCATGACTACTGTCTTTGATTCTTCTCCTCTTCCCTGAATCAAGGAAGTCAACACGTGTATCTGTGACCAAAATTAAGTTTTGGCTCTCACACTGACTGCAAGGTAACAGTAAATAATAGCCAGTTTGACATTTTCAATGGAAGAAATAAATAGCATAGCTAGCTGTCTGATGTTTTTGGTCAGAGAGACAGAATTGATTTAGGCATTAGCAGTTCATCAAATGAAACCTGAGAAATCCAGACAACACACAGCTACTTGCCCTTAGGAAACCTAGTAGTTTCCCATGGCTCATGTGTGCATTCTAAAAACAGTGATATTTACATTTCTTAAGACTTTTGAACACAATTATTATCTGTTGTAATTCTAACAGATCCTAATGATCTCATTTGGTGAAAACATTTAGATACAGTCTGCTGTATTTCAGAGCTGCTGCTGAAGGACTTAGCTGCTCTGATATGCTCATATTATATTCCTTTTTTCCTCACAAGAAGCATGGAACCAATCTGAAAAGATTATCCAAATTTGTACCAATTTACAAACACTGATAGCCACTTGGAAACTCAGACCTACCAGAAAATTTTTAAAACAACTGCTGCCTACTTGTTTCTCCAAAACCTTTTTATACCGTATGTGGCAGACATATTCACCTGTAAAGGCCATGGCATTAATAATCCATCAGTTATAAAGATGGCTGCAAAATACAGTTACATTAATCAGAAGGAAATTCAGTTTTTCATCTGATCATTACTGAAAATATGGTTACTGACTATTTATAGTTGTAGTAAACTGAAAGAGCAATCTGTATTACCTCTACCCTTCTGTAGGGATAATGCTGTCTGAAATTTCTGGAGTATACACAGCTCTGGTTGTATAATACATACAGTGAGCTACAGGATGACTTCAGACAATATCAAGTGTATTGACATGGAATGAATTTTCTGACATGTAGTTTTACCTTCTTCCCCTAGACGGTCCACTTCTCACAGCCCAAGCTGGAATGTACCCAGCTACTTCTCAGTATAGTTAGTTAGAGCTTTATCAGAGATACACAGCATTCAATTAGAGTAATTAAAAATAGCCAAGGAATAATTACTGTATGAGAAGTATCAAGAGCAGGCACTGATTACTAGCTAACCATCGTAATTTCTGTATTCTTGGGACAAACCTGTTGACCATACCTGATTACGCCTGTTCTCAAGCAAAGATGTCTCATACAATTGAGCATTGTGAAGAACAATTCCACAAAATGCCAAATACGCGGCAAAATCCTGAAGACAAATGAACATCAACACCTCATGAAGATAATGGCTCACAGCATCTTAACTCTATTCAAAGATAAGCTACTACAATTTTCTGTTTTCACTTTGAAGTATTAATTGATATTTTAAACTTATATTTGGCAACCACACTTTCAGGGTTTGGGGTTTTTTTCAGTTATTCATAATTTGTTATTTCCTCAAGGATCTCTTCTCCCTTTTTTAAACTAATGATCTTCACAGTTTATCCTGGTAAAAGAAGGACTGATATAAGAAGCAGCTCAGAGGAATCAACTCATTTTGCAGCAATGCATATTTTATCTAGAAAAACTGAGTGCCTCTCTTATTTGGGGAAATTCAATCTCTTGGAAGGTGGAAATAAAATTCTGCTAACACAGCAAAACCACAATTTTTTTCCCCTTTTGGAATGGGATTAATTCTGATATACTGCAGATACTCAGTATGCATTTTGTTTTAAAGGGGAAGTTTTCAAAGGGAAAGGGTGAATTCTGATTTTTTTATTGCTGAGGATTAAGTTAACTTTTTCAGCCTGAGTGCAGTCTGTTTTTTCCTACATCAATCTGAATGTGAAGTCTGGAAATGTTTGGAAAGGAACTGCAGTGTGAGAATTAGGAATCAAGGTGCTGTCTGCTCTACTGATTATCTCATATATTGTTCATAATTTATCCAAAGCTTTTTCTCATCTTGCAATTGCTATATTGAGAAGTGATATAGTATTTAAAAAAGAATCACTACACAAATTCTAATATTCAGAATATGTTTGTTGGGAATGCCAGGAGAGTTGGAACGAATTAATAAAAATGATGGCTATTAAAAGTTATGAAACTGTTTTACAATGCATTTCAGTAGAGTAAGCCTGTGTTTCAGAGATGTATGCTGATCCAGAAATTAAACTATTTCACATCCACATTTCTCATGGCCTCATAAAGAAATAAATTTGCAGTATTACCAGGAATTTTTACTTTTCCAGAGGTGTTCAATTTTTAATAAATTTAAAATTTCTGATCAGCATGAAAAGTAATAACATATCCATCCCCCACTGCCCTATGAAAGTAAAAGAGACATAAATGTCCAGCTTTTATACCTTTTCATCTTGTTCAGTGAAAGTGCCACCAATTCCGGATTTCTTATTGATTGCTTGAGCCACGCCAACAACCTAGTGTATTCAAAATGGAGTAATTAGACAATTTTTAGGAGTCTGTCATTGGATTCTATTTCTAGACATATTTGTAGAAGATAATAAATGATCATTACAGGTATTCATTTGGTTGACCTTTGGATAACAAAAGGTATTTAAGCCTGTTTTCTCCTAATTTATTCATATTACAGATAGCTGAGCATGAACCTGAAATAGCAAAAAAAGTAAGTGGCATGAGTCCTTACGATGCTCTTATGAGGAGGGGTTGATTTGATCCAACATTGATTCTATAAATTGGAACAATCATCTCCCAGAAAGACAACAACAGTTTATGCTTCTGCAGTCATAAGCCAGACCATGCAACAGCTCTCTAAAGTTCATCTGCTTGTGTGTGTAGAAAATACCCTTCCTGCTAGCTCTGACAAAATTTCCAAAACGTAGCCTCCTTACTGTATCTAGAGTTTGGCTACCGTGATCTTTTTGCATTTTGTACCTCTCTGAATCTGGACGGATTTTCATCTGCTGAAAAAATAGTATACAGAGGTGGTGTTCCTGCCAGACTCAAGTTTGTTACTCAAACTTAGTACGTTTTTAAAGGTAGGCTTTTACTAAGACCACATTAAACCAACACTGAGAAGAGGTATTTTGTTATGCTTCAGCTGGTAGTTAGACTGTCCTTCTTGCCAAGATATGCTGATATCTCACCACTTGTGTAATTATTTTCCCTCTGGAGCAACTCAGAAGGTAGGGAAGAATCCTCGTTTACAGGTAAAGCAGCTAAGCAAAGGGTAAAAAGTCATTCACAGGTCCTGCAGGACATCTGCAATGGACCTAGGAAGCAAACCCATATGCCCTGATCAACACTAACAGCTTTCTGTTAAGTAGTTCTTTCTACTCTTGGCACATTGCTTAAGTCCTAGCTTTCAAATGGACTATGTATTAAGATCACCAGCCAAGAGGCTTAATAAATTAAGGCTGCCCACAGAAGTAAATCAGTGCACAGATAGTAACAAGGAGGGTTTACCTGACCCAGAAAAAAACTACTATGATTTATGACATAAAGACATCAACAGACCGGCTCCATTTACTTCCTGTGTTGGCTTGTCTCCTTTTGGATTTAAGTGGAAGAAAATGGAATCTGTGTAACAATAAACCAAGCCAGATTACACATCCAGTTTTATTCTTATAAAGTTCTATCTAAATTATGTTAAATTTCAGATGATGCTTTTTTAGTGTAGAAATAATCTGTGGTAAAATTTGATTTCAAGTTTCTGGACATAATTCCATGCATTGGGAGATTAAAACATGATTTCTTACAAAATAGAAAACAGTCCCTTTAAGGACAGTCAATTAGAGTCCAAGCTACAGGTGCTTTTGCAACTTTCTACATAGAGGACAGTTAGCCAATGAACATGACTTCTCAATACAGAATGTTGGCTTAGATTTTAAAAAAATGTAAAATGAATGTGAGAGAACAACCCAACTGTTTAAGCATGATGCTTTTGTTACTGCCAGTCTTTGTGGAGTTCAATTCTGTACGCTGGTGAGAGCCTCTCAGGAAACCAATCTGCCCTGCAAACAGCAGAACTCCTTATAAAAATGAAAACGGAATTCAGATCTTTGCTTAGTCCTGATTCCAGTTTCTAATGCAGGCTCTAACTCTGATATTTGGGGAGAAATGAAATTGGGTGGTTGCTTTGGACTCACTCTTACATACTCAACACAGACATCTTCTCCGGGAACTTGGATCTGTTTTTCAGAGCCCAAGGAAAACAAGAGAATTTAAAGAGACCTTCATACAAGTCCGTATGAAGACAAAGTGAGCATTTCTTTAAAAAATTAATTCACTGGGATAGTATTTCTGTAGATTCCCCACTGCAGTTATTCAAGCTGTGTACTGGCAGTGACCATTCTGTCCTGTATACTAGTTTAAACTTCTTCTGCATTCTGCTCTTGTCTTTGTACTTCCACGCTTCTACTCTTCTGAGTCATAAATTAACCACGTAATTTCACAGCACACTAAAACTGGAAGGCTTTCAGAAGGAGAGACAGGTTAATTTCAGTTGAGCTACTTCTGACTTTCACTGTCGATAAGGTGAAAATGACAGGTTTTCTATCTCAAATGTTTTGTGATTCCATCAAAAAAAGGCTATTTATTTTTATTATACTATATGTTACTAATGCACACTCTTGTTCTCTATTAAATCAAATTGTTACTACAATAAATGTTTCTCTCTGATGCATAAACATTTCCTAGATTATAGGATTTCAAGGCCTTAGCCTTTCCCTAATGTAATTCAGTATGCTTCCATTCCTTTTGAGACTCTGCAAATTATTACTAATCTGACTTCAGGCTTAAAAGAATTGTAGAAAGTATAGTTTCCTTGATTTATGAAGTAAAAAAATGTTCTGTTAGTGAGTAATGACAGGTTTCTGTAATTGATATCAAGAGTGGGAGCTATAAAGTGGTGAACCCAATGCTGTTTATCAGGGTGGATGAGAAAGGTACCAAAGTAGGTGACCTTCTGAGGAAGGTGCCAGGTGGAGGGTGGGGACAATTACATCTGAGCCACTACTTGTACTGGTACCCAGAAAGGAAGCCCGCATTTTATGGTATCAAGCTGAATAGCCACTAGCAGCACCTGGAATTAATTTAGGTTAGGACAGAGCTGAAAGAGAGGAGTAGTGCCAGAGCAAAAGGTAGGAGAGGGAGGCTTGAAACTGGGAGGAGCTGGAAGTCACTCACGAAAACCCTACACTTCCTTACAGTTAGACTGTTCATCTGTTTAAACGGCTGGATCTCCTCCTCTGCTAAACTCAGTAAATCTGCTGTGCAATAAACTCAGAGGCTAGAATGTGCTAGCACAGATGAAGCCCACCTAGCCGAGTACAATAACACGAAAGAGTACGTGGTAAGAAGCCATAAAGTATATGCAAAGCTTTTGGTTCTTTTCAGATTTTTTTGGCACACTTACAACAAATGATTGACAAAGCTGCAAAGAACTTCCTTTGTTTGAGATCCAAGTAGTGTAAGACCAGTGTAAGGTGTTAACGATGGTATTTTTTTCATCCTGCTTTTTTGGGATAAACAGTATCAGAAGAAAACTGTGTGGTGTGCATCTTTAAAAAGTTGTACTTAACTGTTAATCATTAAATTTATAATTGCTAAACTGATGGAAGGCATACAGGTTTATTTTTGTAATGGAAAAGAAGACAATTTACTATCTCTCAGCCTAGCCTTCCCAAAATACTGATGTTACAAATAAGGTCATTGTTCCGCAACGTGAATCACTGCCAACTGTGGGCTCAAAAATGTCTGTCTGAAATAAAGCTTAACTGTCAGCTCCATTCCATACAACCCAGTTTTTCCCACAGTCAACCTCTCATTTACTTCAGTGAGGAATATTTCTTATCCAGTGAACGTTCTTACTGTAGCAACAATGTACAACTAGCCTTATATACTTCTATAGCAGATTTTTAATAGTAAGCAAATCCTTTAACCAGTCGATATGCTTTTATGTTAACCTACATGTGTGGAGATTAATGGTTAGGCCTTTTCTCATACCACTGTCTTCTGTGGGTATTTATTGAATTTATTTTATTTTTTTCAGTTTTGATCCAGCATGAGCTAAGACAACTTTAATGAGGTTCAGAGGCTTTTTAAGGCATCCAAAAGGTGAGTACTTTCATCTTGTGTAAACACATCCCTTCCATGAAAGGAAAGTCTGTGGTGCTTAAAAAAGCTATAAGAAAACAGTAAAAGGACCATATTAATATAGCAAAAAGACTATTTAGGCTCACTTTATTAGCACTGCAGGTTTCTGCTACATTAACAAAGGCATGTGTTCCAAGAGAAATGGTCATTTTTAAATCTTTGTTGAGTTCTTTCAATAAAAGGTTTTAACTGAAGAGGGAGGGAGTAATGAGGAGAATAAACCTGCTAAAAATTCACGGTTGTCTTGATGATGATAAACATTTTGTGCAGATGCAAACCTTTCGTTGTTGTTGTTGTTTCAGTGGCATTCTAAGCTTTTAAAGACAACTTTGTAGTATGTGCCATTTTTTTCCTACAAAATAAACAGTTTTAAAAATCAAGCTGATCCAAATTCTGGCCTCATTTATATCAGTACAAATTCCAGTGACCTTCACTAAATTCTGTAGAATGAGGTGTAGAAACAGTAATGAGAAAAACCTCAGATGGATGTTATTTAGCCGTTGGAGTCTTGACTGCAACCAGGTAATTAGGAGAAGGTGTAGGAAACTCAAGAGGATCTGTTCCTATTACTAAAGTAGTTATGTAATTAGGATGAAAGTAAATCACGTGGTGGCATTTTAGGCCATGGAGAACATATGCCTGCATTTTAGAGAATACTAGGCACAGCATGAAACCCAAATCCTCATTTTTAAAACTTACTATAAACAAATCTGAAATAACAGTAGGCCTGATCTGTGATCTCCAGTTGGGAGTTATGTTTGCACCAGCAGAAAAATTGAATCAAAGGTGACTAACTGCTCTGAGCTCAGCTATACATATAGCTGAAAACTTATTCAGATAACAGGTACATTAGAAGTGTGAAATCTTTGTGGCAATAAACAAGACATATGTGAGATAAAGCTAATTCTCTGTAAAGCTTGGAGAATGTCATAAAAAAATGACAGTCCACTCAAACACTTGCTCATGAAAGCACTGTTCCTGTCTAAATAAAGATTTTTTTTTAAGTTACTTAGGCACACTATTGTATATCTTTAATTCTCTAACAGGCAGGCACCAAGTGAACTTTTTTGAAAGTTGAGTCCTGTAGCAATAAAGCAAAGATACATATGTTTGATTCCTTGTCATTCTCCTACTATGCCTACAGAATTATCCTGTATATTTCTTGGTCATGCAAGACAAAACTAGTAGGAAAGAAAGGGGTTAAAAACAGCTATGAAAGGGGATGACTACTAGAAAAGCTTAAGGTAGTACTCTGAACTGAAGAAAACCAAGACTAAGGGAGAGGAAAGCCTGAATTACTACCTGCTTATACTTTGATACCCGTGAGTTTCTGGCCTAATCCCTAAAGTAACCAGTCAGCTGTTGAGTGCTACACACTCTTTCTCATGAGCTTCACCCCCAGTCTGACTAGGTAGGTGGGATTATAGAACAAGCTATATCTAGAGTAGTCATGAAGGCTCACAAGAGCCTTCATCCAGGTTTGCTGTATTGAAAGCACATAAGGGGTGGGCAGAAAGGAACAAGCTGTATGTAAAGGACCTGAGTGGTCCAGCTTTCTTTTAAGTCAGTTGGAAAAATTCCCCTTGGATCAGAAACCAAGTAGTTTGTTATTTTCCATTCAGATCACGTAAGATAGACATACACCATGAAAACAAAAAGTAATTTTGATGATGGAATTGTTCTCTTTCAGTCCCAAAAAGGAGTGGGGGAAACCCTCTGACAATTACTGAGTCAATATCCACACCTGTTTTACCACATCTGAACACAGCTTTCCTAATTGTATTTTTGCTGGCAACATAGGTAATCTTCCAGTGCTGCTACTTGTTCTGTAACCTTTCTTCTTGATCTGTACCAGTTATCCCATTTAATAAAACCTGATCCACATTACAAGGAGAGATTTCTTCTAATTATCAGAGCGCTTTATTTTTACTATTTTCTTGCAATAGCTGACTCCTGCCTCTAAAAGTAGCAGGCTACCTAGAGTATTTCCCAGTAGATGATGACTAGCGATTTCAGTGCTGATGACTGTGCTCTGAATTTTATCTGGATTGTTCCATGCTGCGATTTTTTGTGCATTAAGATTACAGGCCTAACTCTCTGAAAGCTGTTCCAGCTCTACAGGTAGCTAGTTACCTTTTTAGTTGGTTCTTACTTCAGCTGGCTTAAAAATATAATTAATGTAATTTTGCTTCCTAAGAAGATATATTTTTTTATTTACTTTGCTGGTACCTGAAGAAAAATTGCATTAAGCCAAAGAATGGTAACAGGAAGAAGGAAACTCAACTTTTATCTCATTTTCAAGATAGGAACATAGCCACTTGAGAAGACAAACTAAGTGGTTTTAACCTTACTTTGCTCTCCTGGTCTTGTAGCATTTTGATTCAGGCTTATAAAATTATCCTGCAGGGACAGAACTGTATTTACAGACTTTCATTTTTAATCAACAAAACTTTCACATCCTCATCTGTCATTCGTGCCAGCAGTAGTCTGCATGATTTCCAGCAGTCTAGCTACTATAACACACATCTCAGCATAAGCTGAAAATCCACCCAAGAAGCAAATTACTGATCTCCGTAATCCTGCAGCAAGACTGCTACTGGAACTTGAGTTAGTTTGTTTAAAGTTAGCTTGGCTAGATCTACACTATACTGCAGTGACTGTGATGTATTATATCTGAAGTGTTCACTGTGGGAGAAAATAACTTAAGTGGCTAACAGCAACATGACTGGTCACATTTTATACAGTAGAATTCAACAGGATATTTTCAAAGGCTGTTGTAAATGGAGTAGCACCCCTGATTTGTTGGGAAGAGTTTCCCAGTGACAGGAGATGGGGCAAAGTAAACAAACTAAACAATTGGAGTGAGCATTGCCAGAATAAAACATTTCCCTAGCCAATTAGTAGGAAGTTCAATCTCACATACTCAGAGCCTTGGAGATAGGTCTCAGTTAATTCAGCTAAAAGTTCCCATATGAGAAAATCCTACAGCTTTTAGTAGAAATTAAATGGAAATAGAATTTTATGGAAATTATTTTGCACAGCTGAAAGACAACAATGCAGAAATAACAGAAAATTATGTCATTCCTGTAGACATTCTACAGCAGCTGTGATGAGTCCCTGCCTCAGCTTTTATTTTTAAGTGAGACTTTGGTTTCTCACATGCCTCATGGAAATATAGGCAAATGTGAAAAACATCTACTGGAAAAATCTCCATACTTCAGCAGGCCCAGAGGATTTAATAATCAGCATGACATTTTCTTCCTCTCAATTACTAACTTTTTTGTTTAAAAAAAAAATAGTACTAATACTAAACAAACAATCAGAAAACCCCAGTTGCTTCTCTTTCTCAGTGTTTATTTTTAGATGACTTCCAGAATCCTCTTTTGCCTGTGGCTGCTGCCATCCTGGGCTAAGTCAGTATTCCCTAGCCAATACTACTACTGGGCCTTTGGGGATTTTTTTTTTTTTAATGGGGAGGAACCAGTATTCTGGTTTTGTTGTTTTGGTTTGGGTTTTTTTAAACAGAAAAAGCAGCAGAGTGCAAATGGCAAACTGAGGACTGATTCACTGACTCCAACATCTGTCCAGAAACATGTCAGCCATGTGTTATAGTAAGAGGGAGAAATATCTTCTGGTAGATACTTTAAAATCAGAAAAAATTAAAAAGTGCTGTCCTTTCCTATAAGAAATCTTGTAGTTTAGCCCCTTCAAACTATTGCATGTGAGTAGAGTGTAGCACTCTCTTCAAACTTCAGGTTGGCTGAACTTTTCAAAATAAACAAATTCCTGCTTCACTTCCACTTGCTGATGCACTTAGGAGTAGAAAGCTAGCTGAAGATACGGCCAATTGCAGGTTTACTCAGCCTGTAAGTCATGGTGTATTGGACCAACAGACTACAGCTCTTATTCCTTCCCCCACCTACCATCACGACCCGGTGAGAAGTAAGCACTTTCATGCTCCCTAGCCAGCAAGATTTTGTAATTAATTTCTGACCCCAATTACATAGAGCATAACATTTTTTCCATTCAACAAACAGAAAATGGGGTGGCTTGGGTGAAATTTAAAGCCTTGCATCAGCCTGACATGGACCACTGGTCCTTGACAGCTCTTCACACAACATCTGCTTTGCTCATCAGCTGGCCCAGGGCCAGCAGCGGCTGCTGCCGGTTAGGGGAAGACTTTTAAGTGGGAGTGGGAGTAGGAGAGGATCAAGTGCTGTCCTTGGAAGAACTGAAAAAAATATTTTAAACCAAAATTAGCAGTAGGTGAAGAAAGGGAGTCCTGGCTGATCATCTGGGTCAGCTAGAGCAAGATTCAACAAACAGGTTAAGTCAAGAGTTTAATCAATTTATTTAATGAAAAAAGGTTCAGTGCAGTAAGAGCCAAGGTGACACATTCCATAAGGGGAGTGAAAGATAGAAGAGGAAGAAAAGAAGGTATGATGTCTTCAAACCAATCTTAGCAGCACTTCTTTTTGGAGTTTGAGTTTTCTGGAAGCAAACTATAAATACTCTGAAAAATAAAGGAATTACAGGAGAGAAAATCTCCATTTTAAAGCTCTGACACACTCTATAGAGAGCCTTACACTTTGTGAGTATTCTAAAAACTGGTGATGTGGCTGAAGGCTACTACATTCAGGATCAAAAAACCCCAAACTTACTTTACTTATTCCCTAAGTAAAACAGTGGATCTCACTTTTTTTCCTTTCATTGGCTTTACTGAATTCACTCTTCAACTACTCAGTGCAAGAAGACATCATTAGCCCATAATAAGAATTCTCCCTACTGCAATAGCATCAGACAGGAGGAGAGAACTTCTGTGAGAAGTAGCATGGATGGGAAATATGTACAAGAGTTCAATGGGCAGATTGACATTGTTTTAAATTAGGACTGATTTAAGTTTTATGACTTGTGGATGACTTTTCTGAATCGACACTGTGTGTTTTTCAATGCCTGATGTTAAGCACTTAACACGTTTCTTAATTTATTAGTTATAAGCTGAGTTAATAGAATGTAAAAACCATCCTTTTAGACAATGATAAAACCCAGTTCGTGTCCTCAGAAGAAAAGAATGTAGATAAGAGCTAAGCTGAAGTACAGTAACTCTGCGTTGCAATCTGAGAGTACACTTAGACTGATAAGTGCGCAGAGAACTTTAATGCTGACAGACGCTTGGTACAGGAACCAGGAGGAGCACTTCTGGAGTTAAATACATACATTCTACTTCTGCATCTGGGATTAAACTGTTCTTGACAATTCCCTTTGGCTTACATTACTGAACTAGATAAGATGAAGTCCAAGCAAACATAAGCAGTCTTTTTAAAAAAGGAGATGGTTTTATACTGTAAGATAATGACTGCCAGCTAATAAAAGTTTAAAGTGTTAGCATAGCTGGAAACAGTATTACATGAAGTGATCCCAATACTGAACTTACCTCTTCCCTGTGATTCTTTATTGGCATACAGAGAATACTCTGAGTCTTATACCCTGTGATCTGGTCAACTTCTGCATTGAATCTTGGATCCTGATACAAGAAAAAAGTACAATTATTTGACTAGTTCCCTAAAGACCAGTTCTTTTTCTTCCCTGTTTTAAAGGTTAAGAAAAGTACCATATTTGACTTAACTGTTACCCTGGGTAGCAAAGGTTCCATTACTAGCTAATAATTATATAAAGTTGTTACTATCAGTGTGTTAAAAAAACAACAAAAAAGCATTTGTGTGGAACAGGAGTGCCTGTGGATAAATACAACTGCCAGAAAGAACAAAAAACCCCCAAACCCTAGGATAAGCCTTTCTTGAGCCTAGACCATCATTATAATAAATGTATACATGGACTAACCATCCCTCGTACAGCTTTTATCATCAAGAAGAAATTACAGAAATATACTGAAAGACATAAGGCCACAGAGGAACAAAATTTAATGAATGTGGTTAGTGTTTGTGCTTTACCAGAGATTGCTTGTTTGAATTCTCCAAAGTATTTTTAGTCATAGGACTTCAGTTTTGCAGACAATTACACTCACAATTTCATTCATTTTGGTGCAGAAGTATATTACGTCCTTATACAAGCAGAAATGTAAACCTTTCAGTGTCCAAAGCTAGAAATGCAAATACTGGTGTGCACATAGCTGGTTAAGATGGGGCTGACATCTGACTGCTAATGTCAAACTTAACATAATTTATTTTGATGTTAGCATTCCTCTAGCATTAGTCATAGCTACATATTTCTGTATATGCCTGTATCTGTAATACATGTACTATAACCAAAAACATGGTGTCAGGTTTGCATCTTGACTGATTTAGGTCAATGTAGCTCCAAATACATATACTACAATGGCAATATTAACAACAGCTGATAATACGGCTTTTTCTTTTTTCAAGAATTGTTCAAGATAAATTTTCTTGGTTTACCTCATACGCATTCTTGATGTTCAGAGGCTGGCCTATAGCTGCTACATGACCCACAATGCCCTTGTTCCACTCCAGGCGAATGCAGTTGTTGGAAGCTTCTTCCAGGGTGGAGCCTTCCGCCACATCAAACAGCCTGCTTACAAGGAACTTCTCATTAGAGCTATCCTCACAGACCAAGAACAGGGAATAGCGATCAGCTGCTATAAGCTCATGGATATGTAGGAAAATTTTATGGCAAAGCGCTGTGACATCTAAATGACTAGAAATATCTTTCACAAGTTCTAACAGTCTTGAGCACTGATCTCCTGCACTGGTCTCAATCCTTGGAGATTGCAGAGGCATCTGTTCCTTCTTTTCAGAGCCGGAGAGGAAGCTCACTGCTCCTACTGAGTCCTTGACAAAAATAGGCCTTAAGGGTCTGTCAAATTCAGAAGCAGAGATTTTCCTTGCTGGCGCCCCAGAGTTGGTGGTCTCAGCGCAGGTCGGCTGGTGACAAGTGCAGGATTCACTCTGGGACTTGGTTCCCTCCTTGCAGACTGGGATGGTGTGAACTCTCTCAGCAAACCATGCATTAACCATTTCTCTGTAAAACAAAAATAAAAATACAGTAAATGATGTAACTTAAAAATCCTCAGGAACAAACGCATATTTGAAGAGTACACTGCAAAAAGGATAACTTTAAACCTTTTCATACAGTGGACAGGAATGCACCTTTAGTGCTCCTCTGTATCAATATTCTTCAATTTTACACAGCACTTAGCCTACATTCAGCAGTAATGTTTTATGCCCCATAAAAAGGAACCTATTTCTGCCTAAAGGAAATACCTGAATACGGCAGAGGAAGACTGCTTATGCTGTGGCTTTCAGAATATAGGAGATCAGAAGTTTACACTGTAATTCTGTACTTGAAAAGTTCTGGTCCTTCCTAAGATTTGGATTTCTGTATAAGATGTATATATATTCATATGAAGACAAAACTTTCTGGTTTAATTTTGTTTTTCTAGACCATTTCTAACTTCTAAAAAGATAATTTTGAACTTTAATTCTGTCAAATCACCTGCAGCCCTCCTGTTTTTGTTGCTTCTACACTGTTTTTAAGTTAACTTTCCCCGCACTCTCAGTTAATGAAAAATGCTGTTTTGACTCAAAGCACAAAAGTTTTGCTTAAAAACTGTCAGAAACAAACATGAATATTTCTAATTCAGTCCCCTTCAAAATAATGAAAAGAGAGATTGTTTTCATGCATCTCTCCTATTTCCTTTACTTGCAGATGAAACTCATTGCCTAACTCAACCCAAAATACGGAATACCCCCAAAATTGTATTTTTGAAGAGTTTACCATTAATTTAAAAAGTCATGTATCTCTAGTATTTAACTGTTTCTCAAATTAACTTAGTGCTAGAATGTCCACCCTAATAATGTCCTCACTAAATACAGCATATCTTGAATTATCCATAAGCACAGATATCATCAATGACATGAGTATACTTTTTCTTATCACTATAATACTATCTTGTCCAAAATCTGTTGGTCGTCTTTTTTTTTTTTAAATACAGGGCTTTTTATTTCATTTACTCAGTGTCAAGGATTCCTCATACCACATGATCTACTCTCAGAAGAAATGTTTTTTTCTGAATTACATAATGTATGGGCCTATGAACAGCAAAAATCCTATTAAAAAGTCTGATCTTTTGGAAACCTTTCATGGTGGTCATGTTTTAAATTTGGGATATTTTTTATTTGCTCAGCAGACCACAGGAATTTCGAGAGTGAAGCTGAATGAAACCATGGAAATTAGTCAGGTTAGTCAGCCGCTGATCGGTTACATGCATCGGTATCTGTTGAATATTAAAAGCACTGTACATAGCCTTTTTTTCCTTACAGAACAGCTTCATCTATTTTGTAGAATGCAATACTGCAAGTGTAATTAACCATTAATTCAAAGCAAAGCAACCAATTAAAATCTAAAGTCCACCAGTATTATTTTTATTAGCAAGCAAGGCATAACAGAAAACTTACTTGTCTTCTATTAGGAAGGTTTGAAAGAGTTTTTCAGATTTTGCAATCACATATCATTTGGAGACCTCAACTGTAGACAAACATGCTATGAAAAATTGAATTGATTTAGGAAATAGCGTGAGTGTAAAGGGAGCATCTGGGCAAAACAAAGGTGTTATGTTACTGTACCCATTCCACTTCAGTGTGAGCTACCTGGTAATTTTTTCCCCTCAAAAGACTACATCTGACTGAGGTAAATATCACTCAATGTAGCACTGTAAAACCAAATTCTTCTCTTATTCACACCAGTGCAACTCCAAATAAATGGATGATAGACTATTCTTTATTTTGGCTTCTATCTGTGCACTTTGGTCCTGACCATGCAAAACCTTACATACATGGCTAATATCATTTATAGCCCCAGTGATCTTCAAGGCTGAATGGTCAGTGTGGTCACATAGGACATCTGTGAATTTTCTGACGATGAGAGTCCAAAACCACTGAATGAAAAGTTGGACACAATTAAGGTGGTGGGAGTTTTGCCCGAGTTCCACAGAGCTAGGATGTCATTCCATGTTTTTACATTTTCCATGAAGCTCCTGGAACAGCACTTGCTGTAGCAACAATATACCTCAATCAACATCTATTATAAATTTCCCAGCAACCTAAAGCTAGTCCAATTACTGGAAACATGGTGCCAGAGAACACAATGAAATTCCATTGTTATTCTGAAAGAGTTTTGGTTCATTGCTTAGCTACTTATTTTTAAAGGAAGTAAGCTCTGCTTTTTAAGTATATTACTGAAAACTACCAATGATCCTTCTTTATTACAGCAGTGATACATATTTTTTTGTGGGGTTACCTCATCCAAATGTTTCTTGCAGGGAAGAAGCATAAAGAACAATTAATAGATTAGAACTTTGACTTTAACAAGATTACTTTACAGTATTTAAGCAGGATAAATATTAAAAGTGGGAGCCATGACCATGTATTACTGAAATGCATAATATAATTTGCATAGGGCAATATCACATTTGCAAAAGCTGTTTCAATGAGAGTCAAAATAAGAAGCTAGCATTTGATAACATTTGGAATTTTCATTTATTAAACTGAATGAGAAAACAGAATAAAAAGTTGTGATGAAAATGACCAAAAGTATCCTTAAGAAAAATAAAAAGCTCTAAAATGCAAAACTTTGTAAGTAAACACAGTACGACCTCTAAAATCGGTGCTGATAACTCTTGTCATCATATGTGTTAAGTTATATGCAGGTTCTCTTTGTTTTACTCTAATTTCCTCAGCAAAAGATACTACCTGGAAATTTTAGCTTTTTCTAAACAAAATTTAGCATCTAGCACTAAGGCTGCAGAAAAGAACCTGAAAATGCGAGCTGGGTGCATTTAAAGCCTCAGACACAAGAAGGTAGAATAATCAACCGTTTTAAAAGAAGTCTTGTGACTTGACCCGGTTTCATGATTGTGTGTGCTGACTTGATTGTTGAACATCGAGGACTGGCATTAATGTAAAATAAGATGTAAAAGTAACTGTAATAACCTAGTATCAGATGGAGAGCATTCTTAAACTCGCAAGTGATTAGGCATAGGAAGCCGTGTACTTTGTCTAGGCATGTTTGGAAATGCACAGGCTTGAACCTGTACTATTGCTGAGTGACAGCAGTTTGTAGAGCAATCTGATTCACTGCTTGTTTACACATGAGGAAAGGAGAATATAAAATGCCATCATTTCACCTAGCTCTGTTTTACTCTGAATTTACATACGTGGATGTGTTGATGTAAGATACAAGGCAGAGGAAGAATCAGGTACCCTTTGTGGACAAAGCAAAAGCTAAAGCAGAAGTTTGGTTTATCAGTTGAAACCTGCCATTTAATTCTGGAGTGTTGTGTAACAACGTCCCCTGGTCTTAATGGTGTAGTAATAGTAACCAGTAAGAACAATGCATTCTGAATTCTAATACCAGTTCTCAAACTGTGGCCATGAGATAATTTAGTTTTTACCTTCTTGCCTTTTTACTATGTAAAATAAGTATTCATTTCTCTATCTTATGGAGGTTATTGAGGGGTGTGGAACATAACTGTAAGATCTTTCACATGAAAGTAATTACTTTTTTTTAATAAGAACTGACTAATTGTTAGGTTTCTGCACTATTTATGAAGCACTTTGACATTGAACAGAACTGTATGTGGAGCTGCATAATTATGAGTAACATATTCCTGTCCCCTTTAACGTCTCTTAGATGATGGTCCAATAACTTGCCAACATAGCGTGCGATTCTCAAAAAACTCTGTAGGTTAACAACAACAACAAATCCTTAACGATACTGTTTAAAGCATGGTTTTCAACTTCAAACCATTTAGGCATTTTTATTTGGGCAACAGGAAAGCCGTTCAAATTCAGCTGGAATAAGAACAGTGTTCACTGACCTTTACTGAATGCCTCTTCTAACAAGGAAACTATTTAGCTCCTTTTACTCACACAGTTATACACATGGGTGGAAGAACTAGCATTTCACATTAACTGACATATTCTAACTCTATTTAAAATCTATCAAAGCCTTGGCATGCATTTGCTTGTTGACACTCAATCCTATTTAACAATGCATGACAAGAAGAGTATGATTACTAACACAACTACTTTATCAGCACAGAATTAGCTCAACAGATATCCAATACCAGAGACATACTGAACCACAAGTGAGGTTACTGGAAGTTAGTAACAAGTGCTATGTATGATTAAGATGTCATTTTGAAAGGCCTACAGGAAGAAACAAACACTTGTGACTGCTCTATTCATATGAATAGTCTTCAGTAAGCATTGGCATTGTCAAGAGCTGATTGTAAGGACAAGACCCTTGCTGTAGAAGTTCAGAAGTTGCAGGAGTGTATTAAACAGGAGCAGATACTGATCCATAGCTATCTACGCAGATAGTTAAAACCAATGCAATGTCTCCATCCCAGCATAGCAATTACTGCATGTTGAGGAGTTACAGGCATCAGCATCCATTCCTCATGAGCTAGCTGCATGCATCCTTTACTGCACTATCATCCTTTACGGCAGTATGAGCCTCCACTCGAGAAAGCTGTAATTTATCCCAGAGTTCATAAACAGGAATAGTTGAATATACAGTAACCATTTTTAGTCACTTCTATCAGCAAAATCCAGTCTTTCCTCTATAAAACACAATTTCAAAGCAGCATGACAACAGTGACTACTGAATTTGGCTAGCGACCTCATCAGCAGGTGACAAAATTGGAGAGGAATTTTGGAAAGATAGGGATGAGAAGGGGATGAAAATACAATGGCAGATAAAACATTTGAAGACAAAAATTGATTGTGTGGTCCTCCCCTCTATAATCACTTGTATACAAGTACACATTATCTGCATTACATGAGAACTCAGGAACTTCAGAGGAATTAAGACTCTTTGGCCCCGATTTGTTAAACAATGTACAGAAAGTAGACCTGTCCCTAAAGCAAGAAGTTTTCAATATGAATAGGCAACAAAAATGGAAAATCACTGGGTGAGAAAACACAGGCAGAAGGAAGCAACATGGCTCGAGCCAGGTCATGCAGAAGGGCCCAAGCAGACCTGAAGAGAACCTCAGGTCTAAGACCTGAAGAGAACCTTGCTTTATTTGTTGTGCCATATGTATCAAACCATGCTGACCTGACACTCATTAATATTCTACTCATACACTGGAAATATTACATAATTTATCACACACATCTTTGCTTCAGTGTGATTATCTTCAAAATACACAGCACACTTCTCAAAAAAACCCCAACAAAACAGTGAAGACATTTAAAGAGTAACAGCCAGATTTACAATTGTCTTGCTCACACATGTAACCATGCTACATATGTAAGACCACACCAGTGTGACCATTCAGCAAGTATGTGGTATCTTTGGACAAAATGTGCAAAAACTGAGCACAAAAGTAATACCGAGATGCAACAATGGTAGTATACTGCATCTTACTTATCTTGCACAAAGAATGCATAATAATTACTGTACCATAAAAGTACTGAGTGATGAGTAGCTTTCAGTGAAACAACTAATAATTCCCCATTTTCTCTGTTGCTCATAAATCTTTCATATATACAATGTGTAACATTTCAGTAGCTGCGTGGACTGTTTTACTCATTTTTCATTCAAACAGCAGTTACTGATAATGCTCTTCAGGAGAGGGATTCAACCCAAACTTGCCTACTAGCGGATGCCAACTTTCAAGTGTCTGAATTCCTGTGGCCTAATCCTGCTAGTGTTGAAATCAACAATATTTCAAGCCAAGCTTCCTAACTATTTTCTCAGTTGCCTTCCTTAAAATAACCACTAGATGTCTTCAAATTTCTTTCCCTCATCTTGACATAATTTAGACATCGAAATCATTTAAAGCATTAGCAACAACTCGAAAACTATTTGGTTTTAACAAATGAGTCTGAAAGTCAAAGTCACTTTGATGTTATACTTGCCTTCCCATTTTCTTTCCAGTACTTCCTATTTCACCATCATTTTCTAAGTGTTTTTGTCTCCTTTCTGGCATGGAAAGATTTAAACAAACTGTAGAAGGCCTCATTAGATGGAAACAGTAAATTGATTGTAAAAGACATGTTTTCAAACTAACTAAAAAAGTAAATTGACAAAGACAATAGTTGTCTTTCCTTAAACCCTTCCCAATTATAGTTGCTAAAGATACTATTTCTAACAGCGGTAGGCAAACAGTTTTTGAAGATGAAGTATGACTTAAAGTCGGTGCCAATTTTTTGGCACAGCTCAGTCAAATATATAAGCATACCTTTAGCTTTGAACATGTTAAGTGGCCCGACTGACTTCTGTTTGAATACAGATATAAATTAAACACTCTAGTTCTTGATTCAAACCATGCTTATGAAAGAGTGAAACAACTACTTTTTAGAACTATGAAATAATGTAAATCTTGTCTGAATGCTCAGATTATTTTTCTAAAATAGGAGGCAGAGGTTGCTTTATTATTTGAAGCAAAAGTATTTGAGATGGAGGACTAACACTAACAGACTATTCATGGCTATTTTCAAGTTTTCTTTAGCAACCAAACTGCAAACTTAACTTTTCACAAGAAAGCTTTCCTCCATAGAAGGGACTTTCTATTTACACTATAAAGAAAGACAGAATAAATCCTCAAGGACTGAAGGTCAGATTCTAAAACATGACTTTTATTTCTCCTCCAAATGTTTACCTCTTGTTCCAAGCTCAAAAACATTAAATTAATTACTATGTACCTAATGATTTTGTTGTGGAAAGCAACAGGACAATGCCAGCAACTTTGGTGAAAGACAGATTAAAAGTTAAGTTCACACCTGCCTGGAGACCTCACCTAAGTCTCAGGCACCACTCCAGTTCCACTTAAATTCCTAAAATAGGGGCTAAGTAGGACGTAAGTGGTGCGGAGGCTTTGGGATGGTTCTCTGTGCTGGGGTGAGTTCACCATAATGCACAAATAAATGGGAAAATATATATCTTTTACTAAGCAAATATATTTTGTGGCTATATTTTCAGTGCCAGACCTAATGTGAAATTACAGCCATTGAGTTATTCACAAGGGCCATTTGAGTAGGGCTTCTTTTCTGGCACTTCATAAATAGCTCCTTTTGTATTTAATGCCTTTTTTTCCCTTTTCTTTTCTTCAAGTAAATCATATAAATGAGAAAGCATTCCATGTAAATTTATGTGTGTTTCTTTGCCAGTAAGGAAGAGAAAGACTTGTATTCTGTGGTTGTATTAATTATATTTATTCATGACAAAAGCAAAATGCTTCCTCTTTAATGGTGAAAATGAAAATAGGTGGTAGCATATTAGTTCAAGTCAAGAACGTATTGTCTAAAATTGCTTTGTTTGTAATTCTTGATCTAAGTCATATATTCCCACATAATTCAGCTTTAATCTAGCATTCAAATAAGCATGAACATAGGCTATGATGTCCTTTATTTGATCTGGAGACACCATAGGTGAGGTATCATGAATTTTATCCTTGTGCAGAGAGCTAGCACAATGTCTACACATTATGGAAGTCTCACTTCAGCTTCAAAATTAGACTATTTGGTATTTTTATTTTATATATGTAATCTTTGTCCTAATCCTGTACAAAGACATGAATTTCCTCCTCACATGATGATTCTTCAACAGGTGCCCAACACAAAACTTCCATGAACTTCTACAATTTAGAAATAAAAGAAAGGCGTCTAACTTTCTTGCCTCCCACAGAGGCAACGTATGCCTCAGCCCCACTTTTCTTCCCAGTTGCCAGAAAGCTGACCCTGTTTTCTGAAGTCTTCCTAGTAAGAGCAAAAAATTGGAAATGAGATTTGACATGTCTATTGGCATTATCAAAAGTACTGTAATATGATAATAGTTACCCTGAAACAAAGAAGGCAAAAAGATGTTAATTGCTAAAGTAGTTGACCCCATTGTATTTTCTACCTGTCCTCTATGGTTTACCAGTTGGATTTTAATTAATGTATTGTGCACGCCCATTTGTTTCTTTATTACCTAGGGCAAATAGTAGATAGTAAAAGCACCTTCTCCTTCTAGCTGCTCAGTACTATCTGCTGACTAGTTTATCTTCGCACCAAAGATTCTGTGTAGGAGTTCAGATTATAGCTTTTGGGGAATTAGAGATGTAAATTGCTAGTAAGGGATTTCTTACCATTTCCCAAATGACAGTTTCTTCAGTCTACATAATTGCTGTTTTAGACATTGTTTCCAAAATACTCCGGCACACACCTAGCTTTATTTCCAAGAATAAATGCCAAAAATACTTAATCACATTTACAACTTCATGAATGTGGGTAACATTCCTTACCTTCCTGAGTGCTTTTTGAATCAGGAGTTTAAAATATTTTGGGATGATCTTAATACTTTGCAGTTATCAAGAAAGGCATAAGGATATGGATATGTTATTTATAAGTGGGACAATTACAGAAATCATTAGACCAACAAGAAAACTTTCCAAGATTTCATAAAATCGATTTTTTTTTTCTGTCCTTCATTCTCAGAAAAGCTCTGTAAACATCTAATAAAACCAAGTAAGTGGGAGAAAATATTCTGATCCCTGCATTAACACAACTACTTCCTGTGGTTTTCAAGCTATGGTCCAAAGAATCAGTGGGTCTGCAGTCCTGTTGTAAATGCTTCACATAGGATAACTTAGAAAAGCAAGTCCCCTTTCAGCATATTCAAACAATTTGCATAGGATTCTGTGCCTCCACTGGAAAACTGTTAGGGCTCTTTCAGTCAGAGAAGTTTAAAACTCACTGCCTACCTACCAAGGTCATGTTAGGGATGAGTATGGCTCATACCTGTATATTTTTAGGATTTTTTTTTTTTAATGTCAGTAATATCTTTTTAAGAAAAAATACAGGCCAAAGCACATTTCAATGCAGAAAATCTTCAGTAGCTCTATTTTTGAAAATCTGAATTTTCATACACTTGCTCCAAAAATTAATTTCCTTTCAATTAGAAAAAATTGAG